AAGTGTTTCAAAAGGTTTAATGGCGGTGGCAGATGTGAAGTTAAATTCACCAACTCAAACAAACAGTCAAAGTGTTGTTGTCAATGTCAAAGACAGAGATGTTGAAGTGGGGAAACCATACGAAGACGAAGATGGTATAACAATAGTTCCTGTAAAAGAACAACCAACATATCCTGAAGTTAGCAGAGACTTAAGTTCTGTTGCAGATATTCGAAACGACTACCAACAACTTAAAGACAAACTTAAAACTCAGGAGAAGATTTGTCAAGCTTTAGGTCTAATGTTAAACTTGGTTGAGCACAACCCTGTAAAAGTGAACTCATATGTCATCGCACCTCATGAAATTTTGAAAGAACTATTGAAACTTTTGACAGAGGCAGACGATATAAACATCAAAGAAATAGAACCCGACATTGCTTGCTGTGGTGTTTCATATAATGTCATTGACAAGATATACGTTATGAAAGGAGGTGAAACGTTGAACTTAAAATATAGTTTCCCAGACGTCATAAAAATATTTGACGACCACAACATTTCATTAAAGTTTGTTTGCTAAGTAAAAATGGCAGAAGACATAGTGGTTTATACTATTACGACTAAAAACCCTGAGTCATATAATTCTATAACAACAAACTTACAAAGTCCTCAAGGACGATATTGTAAACTGACCTTAAACACGATGACGACTAAAGCCTGTTTTGCTCTTTTGACACCAGAAGATTTTATTGTTGTGAATGGTAAAAAATACTTCTTTGAAGATACTTACTCAGATATACCACCAACAGGTTTTGTTGACTTATTTAATACTTTAAGGACGGATGTAACATGTGCTGCAACTAGAGCAGGTTTCATTATGTTTGGATGTCCGACTGAGTTTAGTATAAACGATATGAGCTATAATACAAAACTTATATCTGGTTTTTACTACCAACAGTTTCCTATAACAGGAAAAGGTGTCATACAAGGAATGTCTATTCCATTGACTTTAAGTACACCTATTTTATATATTGTTTCAAACTTAGGTTCAAAGTGCTATTCGAATGTCGACAGAAACTACTATGACCAAAAGATACTCATGCGTATAAACAACACTTTCTCTGCTGGTTTGCCTATTGTTCATTCGAATGCAGAGTTTTCAGCTTTAGTGAACTCAAACACTTTAGCAAACATAACGTTGACATTAGTCGACGCAAACTTTGTTCCTGTAAAACTTTTATGTCCTATGTATTTGTCAATGACGGCAGAAAGTTTCGAATTGGAAGATGCAACTGGTGAAAGTATTGTACTACAAGAACAACTTCAACAACAAATGCAACAAATGGAACAAATGCAACAACAAAGTCAAGAATAAAAAATAGCTCAAGAATAAAAAAAATATTTTTTTTTATTTTTATATAAAAAAATGTACGCTGAGTTTGTTGGAACAGACCGTTGGGAAACTTGTTTGTTAGATGAGAAATATGAAATTCACTGTTGTGAGTCATTTGAAGTCAGAAACAAAGAGACAAAAAGAGTTTTAAGCGAATGGGAGCGAAATGACGGATATGCTATGATGAGGATGGGTGGAAAAAACTATTTTAAACATATTGTCATTGCAACTCATTTTATACCGAATCCTAACAATTTACCTCTTGTAGACCACATAAACCGTATAAGAAACGACAATAGACTTGAAAATTTACGTTGGGTCACTCTTTCTGAAAACAATAAGAACAGAGGCAAATTTGGAGATATTGTATTCGAATTTGTCGACGAACTAGAAGATGAAGCAATTGAAATTACAGACTATGGCAAGCATACGCTTGAGTTTTACTACTATAGCGAAGAACAAGACTCTTTCTACTTTTATACCGGTGTAAACTATAGAAAATTACAAGTATATTTTACTAAGGATGACTATGCTTATGTAAACACTAGAGATACAGATGGAAAACACGTTCATATACTTCTTAACAAATTCAAGAAGCTATATGGCATACCATTTTAAAACGTTTTTTAAAAAAATATTTTTTTTTTATTTTTATATAAAAAAATGTACAGAATAGACGTTTCAGATTTTTATGACTTCCAAGCCTTCAGAAATATGTGTCCATTTAGAGACTATAACAAAGCAGTCGAGAATTTGAAACGTTTAGTCATTTATGTCGACTCTGCCCCAGAATGTTATGTCATGAAAGAATGGGATGTAGTCTTTAACAAACCTAAAGCGACAATAGTTTCAGAACAAGAATGTAAACAGAAACTTAAGAAAATAAAAGTCGTACAAGTTGGTATGAAGATGTTAGATGCTTGGGATATCTTATTGTCAAAGTTAGAAGATTTTTCAGTTCGTGGTATAAAGTTCTATACACCTTCTCCAAACTTCTATTCTATCTTCACTGGATATAAATACGAACAAGTAGAATGGAAGGAAGATGTTATAGAAGCTTGGTTAGACCATGTCAAAGAAATTATATGCAATGGAAACGAAAGAGTCTATGAGTATATCTTATGTTGGTTTGCAAACATCTTACAATATCCAAGTGCTAAAAATGAAACTGCTCTCATTGTAATTGGAAAACAAGGAACAGGTAAGAACACTTTCTTTACAGATATCTTATGCAAACTGTTAGAGGGCTATTCGAACCCGAATATGACAAACTTAGAAAACATCTGCGGTAAATTTAACTCTTCAATAGAGAATATGAAACTTATAGTATGTAACGAACTTCAAAGTATAGATACAACAAAGGTTTTAAACTCAGATGCTTTGAAGAGTCTTATAACAGACAAAGTTGGAGTTGTTGAAAGAAAATATAAAGACCAAAGAGTTTGTGAAAATGTTGCAAATTTCATCATGGTTTCAAACAACGCTGTTCCGATGAAGTTAGAAAGTTCTGACAGAAGATATGTAGTTGTCAGAACGTCAGATTCTCATATGCAAGATACAGAATATTTTGACGACTTAGCAGAAACTTTGACACCTAACTTTTACAACCACTTGTTCTCATATTTCATGACATTAGATATTTCTAAGTTCAATCCAAGACAAATTCCACATACCGAAGAGAGACAAACATTGTTAGAAGCAAACAAGAGTGTATATGAACTGTTCATAGATGAAACTGACTTTGAGTGTTTAGATGAAAGGTCATTGTACGATTCGTATAAACAGTATTGCCAAGAATATGGTTATATGACAGCGTCTAAACGAACATTCTTGGCAAATGTCAAAAATCTTTTAGACGTACAGAATGGTATATATACAAAGAAAAATTTTTCTGAGTAAATTTTAAAAAAAATATTTTTTTATCCGATAGAAAAGATGACGAAATTCATCTCAGTCAACAAGTACATGTCAGGACTTAAAGAAGAACTAGACCCATTCACATATTTGAATGTTTACTTCTACCATTTTGAAAAGTCTTCATTCAGCAAAGTTTGGAACATCGAACCAGTTAAGTTTGCTGTTGTGACTAAAAATGGTGCGAAATTTGAAGACTTAGACATAGAAGGTTTGTTAACAGTCAAAGAAAGTTTTGACAGAAGGTTCTCAAACCTTAAAGAAGGCAAAGCATACAAACTTGTTATACCTTATGAACCAAAGAAAGCAGACGACTATGAATATTATGAGTCTAAGATAGTTGAAGTTCAAGGTAAATTGGGTAAAAAGATTTTAGAGTCTAAGCCGGTGTTTGCTCCTAAAGAGGAAGAGAACATTGACATTGACCCAGAAATGTTCTAAAAATAAAATTTTATTTTTACATGTCATATCTCCCCTTCTCTGGAACTGGTTCTTTCTTCTCTTCTTCTACTTTCTTTTCTTTCTTTTCTCTCTTCTTCTTCTCTGGTGGAGTTATGTCAAACTTCTCAGAACCATATTTTTGTAAAAGTGCTTTGTCATTTAATAGCTCTTCTATTCTGTTTTCTATTTCATTTTCAAGAACAGCGCATGTGTCTTCTTTGCATTCTAAGAAGTTTTGTTGGACTTCATCTCTCCAAGAGGCGTCATCTCTGTCAACAAGTCTGTCATTGACAAATTTTAAGACTTCTCTGCTTAAGGTTTTATGGTTCTTGTCATATTCCCAGAAACAGAACTTTAGAACAAATTCACCTTTCTTGTTTACACTATGTAAGATTTTATGGTCGACAGATGTTTTTGCTGTCGAAAAGCTTGTCTCGAATATAGATAGCGAAATCGCACATTTCCTAAAAGATAAAATTTTAATTTTTCTAAAAATATGTTAGAAAAAAAGTTTGCTGACATTGACAAGAAATTTGAGAATGTTTTAAATAAGAACAAGAGGAAGTTGGAAAATGCTCAGATAAAACCCATACATGACAAGTTCCTATTTGCTCAGAATGGTATAACAGGTCTAATTGCACCGCCTGGGTCGGGTAAGACTTTCACTTATCTTAAAATGGCTGCACAACAACAAGAACTAGATGAGAAGAACCCATTCTATGAGTTAGTAGTCATTTGTAGTACTTCTGGTCAATTTGACCAAACCGTCAATTCGTTCAAAGATATTATAAAAAAGTCTAAGTTAGTATGTATAAAAGATACTGAGTTGTTAGATTGGATAAAGAAGTACCAAAGAAGAGTTTTGAAGTACAATGCTATAAATGAGTATGTCAATTCTAAGTTTAAAGACCCAAATGAGGAAATGCAGAGAATATTAGAGAAGAAACACTTCAGAAACAAACAGAAAGAGATAGAATACATTTCGAAGAAATTGCAATCTTACGATTGGAAGACTTACCCTCATAGGTGTCTTCTTATCTTAGACGACTTTGCTTCTCATCCTTTGTTAAAGAACAGAGAACAAGACATGTGTCGAATTCTCAAGAAGCTCAGACACTTTAACATCTCAGTTGTCATTTGTGTACAGACAGCAAAGAGTTTAAGTAAGGATGTAAAGAGAATACTTACTGATATCATACTTTTCCCCGGATTGTCCGAAGACGATTTCATGGAACTTATGAAAGAGTCCATGGCAGGTAAGTTTGACAGACATGAACTATGGGAGAAGTACAAAGTCATACAAGACCCTCATACTTCTTTCAGAATTCACATCTACGCAAACAAAGTTCAAATTGTAAAAAGTCAAGCGTAAAAATGTAAGTGTTTTAGTCTTAGTCTGTTGTGGTGCTGGGGCTGTCGGTTCTTCTGGCTTTGGAATGGACTCGGTTGGTGGTACGTCGGACATTCGTTTGTGTCCTGTCGGAAGGAAGAGTTCTTCCAGTTGGAAGGAAGGACTTTTCCTGCCGGAAAGAAAAACTTTTCCTGTCGGAAAGAAAAACTTTTCCTGAAGGAAAGAAAAATTTTTCCTGAAGGAAAGAAAAATTTTTCCTGAAGGAAAGAAAAATTTTTCCTGAAGGCCGGCCAAAAAGTTCTCAATTTTCGAAAATTTGAATGGTTTACGGACGGACAACAAGAAAAATTTTTCCTGAAGGAAAGAAAAATTTTTCCTGAAGGAAAGAAAAATTTTTCCTGAAGGAAGGAAGGACTTTTCCTGTTGGAAAGAAAAACTTTTCCTGTCGGAAGGAAGGACTTTTCCTGTCGGAAGGAAGGACTTTTCCTGTCGGAAAGAAAAACTTTTCCTGTCGGAAGGAAGGACTCGGAATGCCAGAAGGACTCGAATGCCAGAAGGACTCGGACAAGACAATTTACCATCTAGAGCTACCTGAGCCATCTTTGGTGTCAAGCTTGAAAAATAAATGGTTCATTTACTCTTCCTCTTTGAAGTTATCGAAATACTCTGTTATCTTTTCCTTCAGTAGCGGCAAATCTTCTTTGAATGTAAGTATTGTACAACCTTTCATATCATAGTGTGTTTGAGGTAACGTATCTTGAACTATCTGTTTAACATCTTCATTTGGTGTCATTGAAATCGGTAAGTTTTCGCGATAGAACCAATTTCTGTCAGATTTGTAAATCTTAGCAAGGTCGTAAAAGCTTTTGTTGTTTCTTCTGACTAAATGCAACATAACCATATCTCTGTCTTCTTCATTTTCCATCTCTTCAGTGTAAATCATATACTTATAGTTCTTTTCCTTTCCTTTTGGTACCGAACGTGGTATTCTTTTCTGTATGTTTTTGTCTTTTGCTTCAAGCTTGTTCTCTAGCTCTTCACGTTCTTGTCTATGAAGTTCGTCAAGAAGTTTACAAACATACCATGAATAGCGAGCTGAAGCCCATTGTGCCACATTATTTACAAGAAGTCTATGTACATACCAACCTCTCAAACCATTTGGCAATTTTTCACGATTTTCATAGAGTTTTGGCGACCCCGAAAAAAGTCTGTCTCGCTGTGCTTCGCTCAAAAGTTCTTGTGTGCTTTGGTTCCTAAACCAGTCTTGTGGTTTCTTAGTATCTGGAGCAAAACATGCTGTCAAAATACTTTGCATTTGGTACATGTCATCTTTGACCGAACGAATGAGACGTAACTGTTTGTTATACTGAACCCACTCGTATTCTTCACTTATGGCTTCATGAACGATAGCAGTTGTTGTGTTCTCTGATGTTGACATTTCTGTTCTTACATACAAAATAAAAAATAAAATAAAAATAAAATTAGCGTTATTTTCTATCTTGTATAAAAGACCAAAAATAAACGCTTTACATGTATTTTTCAGCAACTTCGTCAAATACTTTTATAGCTTTGTCGATCTCATCTACTTCAAACGTTTCTTTACCTCTCGTGGGAGCACCATACATTTTCTCAAACTTTTCAAGTAGTTCTGTTTCAGCAGCTCTCATATCGTTAACAAACGCAACCTTAACTCTATTGACTATACTGTCATATCTTTGAGTTATATTAAATGTTCTTCCTATCTTATATCTCTTTGTATTGAAGTCCTTCGGTTTCTGAACGATGTAAAGTAAGCCTTCACTGCAACGTTCCGTATCGAATGAACCATATGTTATGAAATTATATCCAACAACTGGGTCAATCCAGAACAAAACTACTGGTATAAGACTTTTGTCTATAAGATATGCTCTTGTTCCATAGAATCTTACTGATATCATAAGCTCAGGATTTTTTGTCAAAATTTTCTGAGTAGAAGCATTTTTAACCCAGTCGTGTGCTTTCTTTCCTTCAGATAGTGTTAAAATGTCTGACAAAGAATATTTTTTGTATTTCTTTGAGTATCTTACGTTTAAATCACCTATTCTAACCACTTTGGTGTCATTGTCTATCTTTCTAACTGTTTCAAACTCAGTGCTTGTCATTTCCTGTTCTTACATACAAAATAAAAAAATAAAAAAAATAAAAACTAACGCTATTTTTTTATCTTGTATAAAAGATATGATTTCAGGGATTTTTTTACGAAGTGCAAAAGTTCTCTTCGTCAAAAAAATACAGTTATATCATGAAATTTGGTCATTTTTTCACGATTTTCATGAGTTTTAGGCGACTACGGTTTTTCCCGTACTCGCATTTTTTCACGATTTTCGTACGGAATCTCGTTCCTCGATTTTCCTAGGGACGCAAACATATGAGGAAATTCATGAAATTTGGTCATTTTTTTCAGCAAAAATATATTTTAGATCTAACCAGGTCCCTCGGTCCCTCGGTCCCTCGGTCAACTAACATCTTTTTGAAAACGGTGACAACATGACATTTTGACAACAGTCCAGGAAATGAACTTCTTCGTAAATGTTTTTTCACGATTTCATCGTCAATGAGTGTAAATCAGGCAAAAATGAGTTTTGGTTGAAAAAACAGGTGGAGCCAAAAATGGCTCGACCTCAAAACAAGCATTTCGTGAAGAATATACCACCTGCCGGAATTCCGGCGGGTGCTTTTTTATACAAAACATTGACGTTCATGTTTGACAAAACAAGCATTTCGTGAAGAATATACCACCTGCCGGAAAACAGCGGGTTGCTTTTTATACAAAAACATTGACGATGAAGTCTATCTCCTGTGTTGTTGTCAAAATGTCATGTTGTCACACCTTTTCAGAGAAGTTTAAATTACCTGGTGACGTAGTGACACCTAAAAACCATCTAACCTAAAATATATTTTTGCCGAATTCAATAAAAATAAAATGGTTCATTTACTCACAATATTTTTGTACAAAAGGACCCCAACCTTTTAAATTCTTTTCTGCAGCTTCTAATGAAACTTTAGCGAGCTCATATTCTCTAAATTCTCTCTTTAAATCTTCTTGTTCCCATTGGTCTAGTTCGTATGGAGAGTCTCTATAACCAGAACATATCTCACGTTCATGTTCTATTTGTTTTTCATGCATTTTTCTAACTTCTTCTTCGAACAAAGGTTTAGCATTCTCTGCTGTATCTTCAAGTTCTTCTTCATCTAATTTCTCATGAACTTTCTTGTCTATGGAGTCCAGAATTTTTCCAACTGCTATGCAATATTTTGGAGAAGCCCACATTGCTATATAGTTTACAAGTCTTGGGTCTACATACGTTCCTCTAACCTGTTTGATTTCATCGGGAATTCCTGCATTAACATTGTATAAAAAGCAACCGCCGGAATTCCGGCGGGTGGTATATTCTTCACAAAATGCCTTAAAATACTCTTCCCAGGACTTATTTTCCAACAACTTTCTAAAGTCCTTCCTAAACTGCTGACACATATTTGTTGCATTTATATAACCATCCTTGTCTCTACGTAAGACTTCAATACCGTTATAGGTGCCTTTTGTGAATGTTTCGCCATTAGATTTGTTCGTGAACGTTTTTGCTTCGACTGTCATACTGTTCTTACAATAAAAATAAAAAATATTTTTTAGGTGAAGTGGTGAGATCTCACCTCTTTTTTCACCTCTTTTCTCACCCGTTGAATTTTCATGAATTTTCCCGAAATAAAATAAAAAATATTTTTGGTGGTACGTCGGACATTCGTTTGTGGCTTAACCGTCGGACATTCGTTTGTGGCTTAACCGTCGGACATTCGTTTGTGGCTCGACCTCAAAACAAGCATTTTGTGAAGAATATACCACCCGCCGGAATTCCGGCAGGTGCTTTTTTATACAAAATTCAACGGGTGAAATCTATTTCCTGTGTTGTTGTCAAAATGTCATGTTGTCACACTTTTTCAGAGAAGTTAAAATGACCGAGGGACCGAGGGACCGAGGGACCTGGTTCGCCTAAAATATATTTTTCAATACTTTTTCAGCACTTTTCCGTAGTTGTATATGAAAGACAATTCGAGATAAAAGTCGTAGTACAGTGGAATAATATGCTGCACACCGTTTGTTGTGAACCAGACTTGAAAGTCAGAGAAACTGTTACTAGGTGGTTCGTAGAATTTAGAAGCAAAGTCATAAAAGTCCTTACCGATACAAAGAAAACTGTTGTTGCTTGAACTGAAACTTGCATGACATATAACATTTTGAGGATCGAACACGTTTTTATAAACTGTCAAATCTGCTGGTGGAAGTATAAATTTAAATGGACCATCTGGTGGCAATGGTTCGTTCTGGTTTAGTAACCGAAGAAATTGTGCCCAAGAACGTTTGTCTACTCCCCAATATAAAAACTCTGTATCTCTTGGAGGGTTATTTTCAATCCTTTGAAATGAAACGGTGGAGTTCATCTTGTCGTATTCTAGTTTTAGATAGTACGTTCCATTTAGTAAAGAATGGTATTTTTCTTGAAATTCCCAGTAGTATTTGTTCATTTGAGTTTGAAAGTCATTTAGAGTTTTTTCAAGACTTTCGTCTGAACGAATTGTAAAGATTTTCATTTCGTCAAATTTTTCTATTAGACCATCAGAACCTTTATACTGGCCGTGAAAATATACTGCGAACATAAAAGCGTTCGTTCTATTTGAAAACAAAACTCTTCTAAATCCTATTGCCTTTGCATCTGAAGGACTTTGAAGCCAACGAACTGGATAGTCAAACCGGTAAGCTCCGGATAAAATTTCTTCATCTGAAATATTCCTACCAGCGTTTGTAAAGATATAGTCTAACGGTTTTGTATCTGCTACTTTTGTTCTTTGTTTTTCAACCTGAAGCATTTTATATATGTAAAAATATACTGTTTTAAAAACGTTTTTATTTCATGCAATGTTTTATTTCATGCAATGTTTTATTTCTGTCCCGTCTTCAAGTATACCCCATATTTCCTTTTCGATATTACATGAACTTCGGAAAATACCTTGTCTAGCTTAAAACAGCCCATTTTTTTACCGACCATTCCCATTTCAATGAGTTTGTTATACCCTTCCTCGTTCGTCATGAGCGCATCGATGTTTTCGTAGTATACCTTCACTTTCGATTTAACCTCTGAGAAAAATTTGTTGTAGTTGTCAAGGACTGCTTTTGCGAACTGAGGATAGGACCAATGTTCGACAATAGGTTTTACTGTGGTTACTAAGCCACATTGACCTTCGGTGAACTCGTACTTCAAAACAAAAGGGGAGAACCTTTCAACAAAGTTGTCGACCTTCTCATAGTGTTTACTCTTCATCTTTTGAGGTTTCTTAATGGAATATCCCCATGTCGAGTTCATAAGCAATTTGAGTGTCATTGCAAGTTTGGGGTTTGAAGCTTTCCTAATATCATAGAGTTGTTGTATGACCTTTCCAACTGTATAGTTCCTTCCCGGGAACTCGCCATCTTCGTTTGGAATTCCAGTCGGAATATATTGGACGAACCTCATGTATGCAGCGTTAAGGTCGACATAGTATATTTTTTCATATGAGTCGAACTTATCGCAACCAATGGGTCCGGTTCGTGGAAATTCAAGCGAGTCTCTTATCTTCTGAGAAACCTCGCCTGTTATCTCATAAACATCGTCAAAGCAACCTGTTTCATATAAAATTTTCTGAGCTAACTCAGATGCTCTCCAATACAATTTGACGTCAATTGGATTTCTCAATGGGAGTTTGTTTATAGCATCTTGAAGTTCTTGCAACCTCATTGGAAGTTCTTCTGGTTCAGGTTGGTATCCGAACAATCCAACTCCTTTTGGAGCTGTGTACTTCTTTTGTGCTATAACTTTGTCCGGAACAACTTTTGGTCTCACTAACAATGAAAAGTTTGTTTCGTCTTTTGGTACAAAAGTTTCTGTCAGCTTGTCATCTGGAATTGGTTCCAACAAACCTTTCTCGAAAAGAATGTTAACAGCTCTGACAATGTTGCATTTGCCCTTTCCGAACAGTGGGTTTGTAAGACTTTCGTTCAACATGAAATGGTTGTGGACAAGTACAATCTTCAACCATGGCAATTTGAAGTCAACAACATAGTCATCGTGCGAAGAACCTTTCTCAGTCGGTATGTTGACTCGGATATTGACATTTGCCAACGGTGCAATCTTTGTCAATTGACTTCTGAGAATGTACCTCGTCTTCACACATGACTCAAGATACTTCATCTTCTCATCTGTAACAAGACCAGAGTTCCTGAGACATGTAAGAATACAAGGTTCATTGACAATTTTTTCAATTGTATTATAAATTCCATACCTTGTCAAGTCAATGTCAGACTTGTTTATGAACGGGAAATACCCAGCATGTTGTCTGACTGCTTGAGGGTTGGGTTGATACCATTCGAACTTCACGCTTGCAATCCCTTCAATTGCATTCAAAATATCTGAGTCGGAATCAAACATTTGTTCTCTCTTTGTAGTCTTGAAAGCGTCAAGAAGCATTGCAGCTGTTTGTTCATTGCCATGTGAGTAGTATATATGACCATCTAAATCTGTTATCGTCAATCTGAGATTGTATCCTTTCTTATTTCCGTCTTGTATGGCAGCAAGTACTCCCATGAAGCCTTCTTTGTTCTTTCCTTCGTCAAAGTTTACTGTAAAGGTTCTACCAGAAGTAATTTTACTTCTAACCTCACGATACTTCTCATATGCGTATCTTGTTCTTTCCATGGGAGCATGTGCGTCTTCACCTTTTCCTTTTTTCCTCCTCAAAGGATGCAATTGTTCGTCATGTTTCCAGTAGAATCTGGCAAAGCCGTCGTGTCCTTCAACTTGAGGCTCATTAACATTGAAAGGCATGTTCATAAGCCGTTCTTCTTCTAACCTCTCAAGTCTGTTTGGATAATTGGCGCGAGCTGTTTCCAAGTCCATCTCATAGGTCAGACCAGCCAGTTTGTCATAGACTTTTATTGGCTTTCCCTTCCTATATTTAAAATTCTTTGAAACTCTCCAGCCATATCTTTCTAACTCTGCTTTTACTCTAGCAGATTTTCTATCCATTCTATACGGAGGCATTTTTATAAAAATAAAAAAATGTTTTTTTTAAA